GTGTGTAGTACTTCAATTGCACCACCGCCACGAGCCAGAATTTCAGGCATACGATCCACCAACTTTGGAGATGTTATCTTTGTTGATCATGCTGAAATTCAGTTGAGGAAGAATAAGTACATGGTGTTGCTTGTTCTTGATGGTGCAACCAACTTACTTTGGGCTACGGCACAAAACTCACTGAACAACAAGGAGACCATTCAGGCTCTAAGGTTGTGGAGTGATGAACACAATTGTATGCCTAAAGCCATTGTAGGTGATGAAGCTTTCTTTCAAGAAGACTTTCTGACTTATTACCGAACTCATGGTATCAAGGAATGTCCCTGTGGTTCAAGAACCCCATGGCCTAACAGAGCTGAATCAGCTGTCAGACTTTTCAAACGACAATGGCAAATCATGTCCAAGAACCTTGAAGATGATAGGTTCAAAGGAATCACCATAAGAGAAGCTGTGAAGCGTACTGTTTGGGCCAGAAACACTCAACTCACTGTTAGTGGTTATTCTCCTTTGGAAATTGCCACTGGTAGAAGACCACCAGATCTTCTGGATATTGAGACTTCTGATCCTGCTCAACTTAGTGTTGACCCTTTACCTGAAGACAGAACACAACTCGAGTTGCAAAGGTTAGCACTGAGGGCACATCAGGAAGCCAGACAAGCTGCTGACCTCAGACATGACATGGCCAAACGAACAATGCCATCAGATGGACCTTACAAACCAGGTGAAAAGGTTTTCGTTTGGAGTTCCCCTGTCAATGCTAATGCTATTGCTTCAAAGGCATGGAAGAAGGAAAGATGGATCAGAGGTACTGTTATCTCTCAAGAAGGTGCTATGGTCAATGTTCATGTTGACAACGCAGTCATGCGTGTTAATCAATCGAAGGTGAGACGTGACCATGATGAATGGCATGATGTTGCTGTTCCTGGACTTGACACATCAGAACCTGTTCCACTTGCAGTTGAAGATGAAGATGACTATGAACCAGACATAGCTGAATATGCTGAAGCCTATTTAGGCGAACAAGCTCACTGGTTTTGTCAAACTGGCAAATGTGATGTTGTGGAACTCTTCAGTAGCAACACTGGTCTTAGTTGGCACATGGCACGATTGAACATGAAGGTTGGTGAACCCATTGATCACAAGCATGGTTGGAGTTTCAACAGCAAAAAGAAACAAAACCAAGTTTGGAAACAACTTGAGAAGCTTGATCCTGAATACGTGTTGATCACAAATCCTTCACCAAATTCCTGGAAATACTCGGTGTTCAAGTTTTGCCTTGATGTGATGAAATGGCAAGCTGACCGAGGAAAAGGTTTCTTGGTGATTGCACCCCCTGATTCAGGATTTGCTCAGTTTTTGGCTTGGAAGAAATTTCAGAAGGACAGAATCAAGTATCACATTGGTTGTTTCAACCTTGACATGACAAATTACTGTCGTTGTGATCCTTCAATCAAGAAATTGCGTGTGTATTACAATCATGATGAAGACTTTGACATGTTGGAACCACAGCATGCCTTCAATAGAGAAGGGAAGCTTTGGAATGATCCACAATGGAAGGTCTTACCATCTTACTTGTGTTCATTCATTGCGCAGTTCACACAGCTTGTACCTTTGCAGAACATGAGACAATGTTTCTTGTTTGAAGATCTGTTGGAACATTTTGATGATGGAGCATTGTGTGGCACGTCAATGTTTTTGGACCGTGAACCTGAGTGCTCGTGTTTGTTGCAAGATTTGCATCATGTTGAGACCTCGATTCCAGTGCCGTTGAAGCACATTCTTCCACAGAGATTTACCACTCAGTTACTTGTTCAAACATTGAGGAAGATTGATCAGTTGCCAAGGAGTACAGAGGCTAGTGTCAGAGAATCAACTGACCCCAGAATCATGGAACTGATTCCTGGACTTCAAGATGTCAGAAAGAAGACATTGCCTCAAATGTACTTTGAAGATTGCAGTGTGTTCAGAGGAACTTATGGAAGAGTGAATCCTTTGTTTCAACATCCTGAAGATGCTGTCCTACTTATTTGGAAACCTGGTGACTATGATCATGTTTACTTCATGTTTGTGTCACAGTTGTATCCACATCATGAACAGTTCAAAATCCATGAATGGAGTATGATCGTCTTTTCACGAGACGACTGGTGCTATCAAAAGGAGAGTTGAAGATCCTCCTAGTTCAAGTAGCACACCACCAAATGGTGACGATCCCATTCATCCAGATCAGCATGGTGATGTTCCACAAAATGATGATGAAATGTTGAGTGGTGATGAACCAGATGATCCTCTGGATGATGATAATCAACCTGATTACAATACTGGACCTGATCCAGGTGATGATGATGATCAAGCGTACATCATTCCAGATGATTATGGACCACCACCTGATGATGATTTGGATATGCCAGGAATACAGGACTCGGGGGAAACACATCAACCAAGTTCACCATCAACTCCGTTTTCCAATCCTGACATCCCAATCGAAGAGATTGCTGATCCTGGACAAGATGACGATTCACCACCAGGACCTGATCCGACGTCAGAGCCTATCAGAGTTCAAAGGAAACAGAGACAGATCTCAATTGATTCTACTGATGCTTTACCAAAGGCAAAGGCAAAGGTTATTATCAAGAGGCCAAAGGTTCAATTACCAGGTCATGTTCAGCCAATTTCAGTTCCTACTCAGAAACCTTATGAAGATGAAGATGAAGGACCTTCACATGATCCTACTGCCTCAAGTTCACATGATAATACAATTCCATTGCCTACTACTACACCAACATCGTTTACGCCAGGTGATTTTGCGCAACCAGCGCAACAGCAGTCTTCACAAGGAACACCAGAATTAGTATCATCACAACATGATGATGATGAAACAGAACCATATGAAACAGACGACACTCCTGTTTTGACTGAGGATGACATTGCTCAGCTTCAGGAAGAAGATGTGGACACTGAACCTTACACATCAGACCACTCGCATTTTGTCGATGTTGATGGTACTGTTTTCGTTCCTTTAGGACCAAAGGTCCAAGCTGCACCTGAGTTTGGTTCATACGATGTTACTGGATTCAAACAGTTTGAACAGTATCTTGCCAAGAATGGGAAGAAGCAGCCAAAGGCAGAATCAGTTATCACTCAAGAAGTCTTGAGAAAGTATGCTAAGGAGATCAAACAAGCCAAGCTTGAAGAATTCAGAAGTTTTCTGGACTTCACTGCCATGACTTTCAGAGACAAGAGACGTCATAAGATTGATAACTATGTCACTGGCAGATGGGTGCTTACCATCAAGGTTGATAAGGATGGACAGTTCAAGAAGTTCAAGGCTAGATGGGTATGTAGAGGCTTTCAAGATGCTCAAAAGTATGACTTACAGACTGACAGTCCTACTGCTACCAGGTATGGTTTTCGTGCGGCATCTCAGCATGCAGCCTCGATGTACTGGGATTTACTCCATTTAGACTTGAAAACTGCCTTCCTTCAGGGGGAAACATACGACTTAGACCGCCGCGTTATCCATGTTCAGTTGCCTACTGACATTGGTTTGCCTCCTTACTTGGTTGGTTTGTGCACTCGTTCCGTCTATGGACTTGCGGACGCACCACGTAGATGGTGGAACCTCCGCGTGGTGGCAGCGGGCTGGCTCGTCGCTGCTTGCGACCGGCCGGTGCAAAGTTCAGTGTGAGAAATTAAAAGAAAGAGAAAAGAGGACAAAAGCCACTTTGGCACAAGAGCCCAACAAGAACGAGAAAGGGCCTGAATATAAAGGTTGGCGGCCCACCAAGGTTTTTAAGGTACCTAAGGGTCTGCTTTGCTGGCTGGTTGCGTGCTGCTGTTTGCTGTCCTGCTCTGCTGCCTCCAACCACCACGTCTCAATTCACGACTTCGAAGTCAACGTTTCTACCTGGCCCCCCAAGGGCCCCCTAATTCATGACACGTTCGGTTTGTCGCTGCAATGGTCTGATGGCGGCAATGCGAGCGCTCTTGCAGTGCGCGCTGGTGCATCTGTGACTCGGGAACTTGGTTTGTTTAAATGTGGCACTCTCTTTCCACCATTTCTGCTTACTGATTCTCGGGCCCCCCTAATTAATGATGGTTTCAATGATTTCACCCCCATTTTGGGTCAAACTTGGGTTTTGGGATTGAGTTTTATCGTTGCCTGGGTTGGGGTTGTCTCTTCCCTTTTTACGGTTTTCATTCTCCCTGTTAAAACCCCTCAAAGAAAGGGCCGAAAAGCCCCAAAACATGGCTCAAAGCTGCAGCGGCAGCAGAAGTGGTCGCGGAAATCTTTTTTCAAAGCTTTTGTGGCCAGACGATGCAGCACGCATCGCATGTCAAGAGCGCGGCTCAAACACCGCCGCATTGCACTGAGACTCAGGAGCCGTTGGTTCAGAGTGCATCGGCGTCGTGATCCAAAAAAGCCTGCTGAGCAGGGTGTGCTACCAGGTTTTCCTTTCAATTTTGACTGGTCGCCCGAACATGACAATTTTTGTGATTATTCACCAGTTCAACCCACTCATGAGGCTGGCCAATGGCTGGGTTCAGAATGCCTTCGGGGAGGGTCGGGGTATCGTAGGAAACGCAAACGAAACCCTAAACGAGGCCCACAGGTTTCGCAGGTTTTAGTCAAGACGCTGATCCAAGGACTCAAAACTTGTTTGAATCAGGGTTCTTTTCCTACTGATCTTTCCCCCCTTTTTGATCTTTTGGGATCCACTCAGTTTGCTGATTCCAGTGCTGTTGCTCCGGCCAAAAAACGTGTCAGGAAACGGAAAACGCAGCAGCAGAGTGCTTCTGTGGCTCAAACCAAACCAAAGACCTCCACCACTCAGAAAGAGTTGTGGACTTTCAGAGATGGAACTACCAGGCCATATTGTCGAAACACTGAGACAGGTTGGTGGTGGTGGGACGACAGTGACAACCCGCCATTTTCTTCCAACCGTGAAGTTAGAGTTTCCCCCCCACCCGCTGTGACTCCCCCTAAAGTGGCTCAAACCCCCATGCCCAAGGTGAGATCGGTGTACCCAGCGGAATGGAACCAACCTGTTTCGCTTGTTTCATGTCAAACTGTTCTTACTGCTATCAAGCAAAAGCAGCCTTGGAAAGGCAACCTGGCTTGTACCAGCACTCCGTGGGAAGTCCAGGAACTCATTGACCTCTACAAAAGCTTGGGACTGTCTCAAGGCTTAACTCTTGTGCTCGCTGGACCCACGTGCAGCTGGGTCGGTTCCACTCTTAGTAGAGCCAGGCTCCAAAGGCAGGGTCAGCAGGCCAAAGTTGAAGATGTCCACTTGCTTTCCTTAGGCACGTCGGCGCCTTGGAAGTCACATGCGATCAAAATTGAAACTGACAAAGTCAAAACTGTCGAGCGTACTCAGGTTCGAGTTGTGGTGCCCGAGCAGTATCGCTCTCTTTTCATTTCTGACCCCAAAACTGAAAAGATTACGGTTATTTTGGGAGAACTTGCCCAGTGGGGCGTGCGAGCTCACACCCTCACGGGTGGGCGCTGGCAAAGGGAACAGTGGGGACGCAGTAGTGCCCTCATCGGATGGCTCAGGCTGACCAAAGCTGATTGCCAGGTCCTCGTTGGGAAAAGTGGCACCAGAGGCATCTTTGTCAATCAGCACCTTGACCCTGCTGCCGACAGACCGTCCTTTTTTTGGATTTCCAAACAAGCCAGTGAGTCTTCTGAAGAATATTTCCAAAGATGTACCAAGGAAGCTAAGGCACGTGGTCAGCCAATTTTTTTGCGAAAAGGCCTGGGCAGTGACTTAGGTTTCAGCAGGAAACCTGAGGACCCCGAGGATCGGCGGCCGAAAGCCGTCGAAGTATCAGGGGTGCCAGCCCAGTGGCACTCCGACGAATTGCAGGAATTCCTGACAGGTCAAGACTGGCGTGAGGTCAGCATCCTGAATCGCCACCGACGCAACCGGAAAATCATTTGGCTCATCAGAGCCGTTCCTCCTGTTGCCTTCCCTTATAACCAAGGTGTTTGGACCTACGAAGACGGGTCCGATTTGCGCATCATTATTAACGATGCTGTGCACCGGCCTTATATCCCCCAAAAGGTCACAAATTTGAAGGGGCCACGCAGACAATGGGCCCCGGGCTCACAAGAGTTTGATAACCAGGAAACCTCCAGGCGGGGCAGAAGCCCTACCAAAAGGCCTCCCAGAGGCTCCGCAAACAGAGAAAGATCACGGTCTGCTAAGGCCTCTGATGACACCAAAGATTCAAATGCTCCTGGCGATGCTTCAGGAGTCACAAGAGCAGACAAGCCTGTTGCGCAGGCTCAGATGGAAGTTGATTCTTCTACCAAGGATTCTACTCAGGCACCAACCAGTTCAAAGCTCGGCATTGGCGATTTGCAGGACGCTCTCTGCAATCATCAATGGTCACTTGTGGATCAAGGTGGCGTTGGCGATTGCGGGTGGAGAGCTTTGTGTGACAGTTATTTTTTCTTTACGCAAGGGAAACAGCTGTCCAATGAAGAATGCATCCATGAGGCCAGTCTTTTGAGGGTCAAAACTGTTCAGCATGTTCGCAAGTTCCATGACAGATACGAATCTTTTGTTAAGGGGGGAAAAGCGGCCTTCCCTGATTTTTGTGAAAAAGCACTGGACAAGCATACGTGGATTTGCGGCCTACTTCTGCAGGCTGCGGCTGAAGTTTACGGCTGCTGTATTGTTGTCTGGGATCAAACGGATGAATCTCTGCGCAGATTTACTTTTGCCCCTGAATGGAGCAGGACCGGAATGCCCCGGGTGGTTGTTGACAGCCCAACTCTCGTTGTGCAACGAAAGGGGAAACACTACTGTTCCGTGCGTCCCCCTGACACTGGTGACAGCAGTGACAAACGAACTAAGGTGCCCAGTCACTGGATGCGGGAGACCGCGCGACCTGAACCTGACGGGTTGGGAGGGGCTGCTCCCCCGGGTGTCTTCAACCCCACTCCCCTCTCTCCTTCTTCTCGGTCCCTGCGCGCTGCTGCCGGCTCCTCCTGCGGGTCCTCCTCGCGATCCACCGTTGCCGCGTGCCCTGTTGGTCCTGCGTCCTCTCGCGTCGCTGCTCGCAGTGCTCCCCGGACCCCTGCCGCGGTCTCTCGCCGTCTGTCCCCCAGCGTGCGATCCGACCCTGCGTCTCTGCACACGTTGCTTTCCCTGCGCACTGCCTCCGCGTCGTCCTGCTCTGGCGTCTCCCCGGCTCCCTCCCTCCACACTCGTGTTGGGTCCGTGTGCTCTGGTGTGCCCTCCAGCCGTGCCGCGCCTTCTTTGCCCGCCCCCTCGCTCCACACTGCGGTCGGGTCTGTTCCTTCTTTGCCCGCCCCCTCGCTCCACACTGCGGTCGGGTCTGTTCTCAGTCCCCCTGCTGCTGCGAGTCTTGGCGTCTCTGCTGCGGTCGTCTCCGGGTCTAGTGCTGCTCAGGCCGTTGCCCCTAGACCTGAAACTGGCCCCCGAAAGCGTCTTTGGGGAAAACAGAAGGTTCACTGGTTTGATGATGAACAAGATCTCAGTGGTGTTTCGATTCATGACCCTGCTGATGTCACTTATGAGGATCCCACTGATTTCAGGCCCACCAAAAAAGATTCGAGCCCGTCCCGCCAGCAACGCTGGTCGACGATCCAGTGGGTTTGTCCTATTTGCAAACAAGAAATGGAACTGTCAGGTCATGACAAAGCTTACAAGAAAAGGGCTTTGCATCTCCGAAACGCTCATAACACCAAACTTTCGATGGCTGGTCCCTCCATCAGCGAAAAAATTTCCCTGGGCCACAAAACTGGGGGAAAACATGCCGCAGCCAAAAATGGTGCCATGGCTTCTCAACGAGCCTTTGTTCGGGCCAAAGCTTTGGCCCAAGACCATGACCATGACATGCGTCACTGCACCTCGCATGGTTTGTTTGATGCTTTCAAGAAAACTTGGTTTTGCACCAAATGCCTTAACCACCAGACTAGTCGACTCATGGCCTCCATTCCTTGCAGTCCTGCCACTACTTGGACTGCCAGGAAAGCCCGGTGGTGGCAGGCTCTGCCCGACGGCACCAGGAACAGAATTCGACTTGTGGCCGGCTGGACTAAGGAACATTTTGACCGCATTGAGCAGATGTGTGCTCAAATTGTGGCTGAAGCCAAGCCCCAGAATTTTTTCTCTAACAGAATTGCGCCTGACAGCAAGCGTAAACTCAGTGAACGCATCAAAAAGAACAATGCGACTTGGCGCAAGGAAAATGGGCTCCCTGACGACTCTTCCGGCACGGGAGGTCTGTGTAATGGTAAGGTTGCACCTATGCGCCTTGCTAAGCGCACTGGGGTCAAACGCAGACGATACAAACAAGCCACTGAATGGCTCAGGGATTTAACCAAGGACGGAGACGTTGAGAGCAACCCGGGACCTACCCGCCGTCGGCGAGTGCAGACTTCTTTTCCTCATTTAAAAGTTTGGCCGTGCAATGTTGATATCCTTCTCATTCAGGAAATGCGGCTCAAGGAAGTCGACCTCAAAGGCATGACCCATTCGTTGACCGGCTGGTCGCTGTTTTATTGCACTGAGGCTCAGGAACGCACTGTCCCCCATGGCGGGGTGGCCGTGCTTACCAAGGTCACACTGCCCGCTGTGCGGGCTGCTGCTCACAGTGATGTGGCCGGCCAGTGGATCCGGGTCACTCTTCCTGGGCTTCAGATTTACAGTGTTTATCAGCGGCCGGGCATTAGTTCGGACGAAAGGGATTCTTTTCATCAAAGCATTTCTCAAGATTTCATGGGATTAGGCCCTTCTCCCTGTCTTGTGGCTGGCGATTGGAACCATGACCCTGTTACTTCTCCTCTTCGCCTCTTCCTTCACGATGCCTGTGTGTGTTTTCCCTCATTTGCTCCTGATCCTGAAGATCCTGACGCAGTCATGCCTGCGCCCACTCGGTGGGATGGTCAGGCTTGCATTGACTGGGGGATCTGCAGAAAGGTCACTTGCGATGTTGAAATGTTGCTGGATCGATGGGCCGACCATCGAGTTCTGGCCTGGACCCTTTATGATGTCGGAATCTCAGCTGTTAAGCAACTCAGGTTGACTCCTCGTCCGAACCTTTGCAAACCTGATGTCCTGTCTGAAGCGACGTGGCAAGCTCAGCTCACTGAAAGTTTCTTGGCTCGACAGTATCAACTTTCTGAAGCTCCGAGCTGGGAGCAGCTTTGCTGCTTCACTGAAACTGTGGTTCAAGAGGCGCTTCTCGCTCAAGGGGTTGCGCGACGTCAGCCTACAAACTCCCACAAAGGACACCCTGCCAAAACCGAGCAAGTTGTCAAACATCACAGAACCCTTACTACTGGTGAGAGCACCATCAAACTGACCAGACTCCGGCGGTTTTGGCGTCGGGCTCAAGCTTGGCACACCCAAGGTTTCCGTGACAATCGCCTTCGCGATGCCTTGCTTCGCGAAGCCGCCCATTTTCGTTGTCCATTTCATCCTCTTAGCATCGCTTGCTCTTCGGATTTTCTGCAATGGCTGGCTGATGAGATCGAAGCTGACACCCAGAACTGCGTGAAACAGCGCCTGCAAGCCTGGCGCCGTAAGATGCAGCAAGATGCGGCCCCTTGGAAATGGCTCTCGCGATACAAGATTTCCAACAAAGTGTCTTTCCTGGCCGACTCTGCTGGCTGTCCCCTTGCCGGACAAACCATGTTCGACGAAATCGAAAATACCTGGCGGCAATACTGGCCTCAAAACCCTAGGCAGGAGGAGCTGGACAACATGGCCCGGCTGCACGACACCGCACCTTGGCCTAACGGCCCTGCTGCTCCCGATTTGCCTCCCCTGCGAGGAATCCAATTCCGGGCCAAAGCTCGGGACGCCGTCAAAAAGGCTTCTGGCCCTGATGGATGGCGTGGCGATGAAATCATGCACCTCCCCGAGGGCCTCCTTCAGCTTTTCGCCAACTTCTTCAACCAACTTGAAAGCGGTTCCCAGTCCTGGCCTACGGCTTTACTGCAATGGCGGCAGGTTTGCATTCCAAAGCCTTCTGGTACCGGGTTGCGACCCCTGAGCATTGGTTCTGTGTGGTATCGTATGTGGAGCAGCATTCGTATCAAGCAGATGTCCCAGTGGATTGTCGATCGTGTTGGTCCTCATTTCCATGGTGGTGTCAAACAGCGCGGCACCGTCAGTGCCCTCCTCAAACCTCTTTGTCTCTTGCAGAAGACCCAGAATGATGATTCTCAGCCAGGCCGGCACCGCCGCCTTGCTGCCCGCCGGCGCCTGCTGCGATGGATTGGTGCTGCTGATTTGTCCAAGGCCTTTGACCGGCTTCATGGGGCTCTCGCTGGTCCTGCGCTGAAGCGCATGGGGCTCCCCGCTGCTTTGGTGGATGCTTGGACCGCTGCTTGGATTCATCAGATGCGATTCCTTCAATTCGGTTCCCAGACCAGCAAAGGTGCTGTCAGAAACATCAGCTGCCTCCCTCAAGGGGATCCTTGTTCCCCTCTTGCCCTCTTGGGGGTCCTGGCTGAAGCTCTGTGGCGGCTGCAGAAGAAGCATCCGGAGCGTACTCATGGGCCTACTGTGTGGCGCATCTACATTGATGACCGCTCTTGGTTTTGCGCTCGCATGAAAACCTGCCTTAGCATTGGCAAGGGTTGGATTGAGGAGATGAAGCTCCTCCACATGGATGAAAATGCCTCCAAGGCTGACTATGCTGTCGTGGGCCCTGCTGCCCTGGGCAAGAAGATGTGCGAAGAGCTGCGGCGGCAGGGCATGCCGGGCGAAGTTCGCACCCGTCCCAAACTGCTCGGCACCAGGATCGAAACCAAGAGAACTTTCTCCAAAGCTCAAGAAGAAGAAGTGGTGCGATTGCAGCGCGCGACCGCCATCGCCAATAACATTGCTTCCATTCCCGGCAGTGTTCACTTGAAGACTACTTGGCTGCAGGGTGCTGCTGTTTCTCTGGCTAGCGTGGCCGTGGTTTCTCGCCTCCCTGCTCTTCGTGACCTGACCTCTGCTCATCGGGCTATCTCTCGCGCTTTGGCTTCTTCTGGCCACAGCATGATGGGTCCTTTGTTCACCCTTTTCCATGGTCACAAAGTCAACTTGCGCTACCAAGTTGGCAACTACATGGCTGAGGTGGTCCTGAAGTCTCACACGGATCCTGATGTTCGCAAAGCCTGGAACGCTGCCCGTACTCGCAGCAACGGTCCTCAGCAACGGTCCTGTGCAACTCTTGCGCAGATGGATGAAACGTCAGAAATGGCATGAACTTGGCCCCTGGAAGTGGTGGCACCCTGAGGCTCAATGGGGGCTCTGCCGCCCTTCTGCTGCTCGCAGCTTCCCGGCCACTTGTGTTGGCCGCACGCTGCTCTTTGATGACAACCACGAGGAGCTTCGACATGTTCTCAGAGATGCTTGGCGTGCTACACTCTGGGAACGATGGAAGAAGTCTGCTCCCTACAAATCCAGATCTTATCACTCTATGCTTTGGCGTGATGTTGCCGATCGTTTCAATTTGGCGCGAACCATGCTTGCTCATTTGCCTGCTCATCTTCTTGCTCATGCTTGGGCGGTCGTCTGCGGACATGTGGTGAGTCAAGCTCAATACCACGGCGACCCCACTCGTGATCGATCTGACCGTGACCGTATTTGCTGGTTCTGTCAAAAAGAAACCATTCCGACATTTCTCCATGCCATGTGGGAGTGTGATGCACCGCAGTTTGCGGAAAGACCTGTGTTGCCGACTTGCAGTTTGCAACTCCACTTAGGTTGGCCTGATCCAACTAAGGACAATGCACATAACACTAAGGTGCTTGTGCATATGGCTGAGGTCCGCCGTGACCTCACTTCGATGCGCCGGCGCTGAGTTCTGCCCCGGCGAGCTGTGAGCACTATGACCTGCTGCAGCTCTTCAACGAGACAACAACAACAACAGTAGATGGTGGAACCGCCTTGACAAATTTCTGATTTCGCTTGGTATTCAACCTACAAGAGCTGACAGGTGTACATATGTATGCTATGATGGTGCTTTCAAGGAGCCAAAACAGGTTAGCTTTGCTGACTCTGAGGCAACAGAACCAGCACCTGTGACATACTACGTAAGCTCACAAGACAGTGAGAAAACGCGTGATGAATCCTCCGACATTGCTGAGGAAGTTCATAAGTCTCTTTTGGTTGAAGAAAGATTGTTTTCAGCTTGCTATCAACAAACCCAAACATGGAACCAGAGGAAAGAGTTCAAGGAGAAGAAGGTTGAAGATTGTGCTTGGACTCCTGTTGTTGATGAAACTTTGTTGAAGTTTTTGGAATCTGTTGAACACAAGTCTGGTTGGTATCCTTTTGAAAATGGTCATGCTCAAGTTGCCTATCGTGCAAAAGCTTTGAGAACTCCTGATTCACATTATGATCGAAAGAAGTTTCACTTGAGAACTTCTATTGTGAAGAGGAAAGGAGTTTGGTGGTTGCTTGAGATGAATCATGACATGAACAAGGACAATGTTTCCATAAGTTTGGAAGAAGAAGCTGAAGTACTTGTTTCAGTCTTCTTACCTTCAGAGCGTACTTATCTTGCCACGACACCACAGTTGACACCAGAGATTGTTGAACAACTCTTGGAACACTTCATGGACCCTGTGAATGGCAGTAATGCCAAGGGAAGAAAACCTATTGGCATGTGTTGTTTGCATGGTGACGACTTGTTCATTACAGGAACTCCAGAGTTTCTGGAGAAGTTCAAGAAAGTTGTCAAGTCACAATTCAAGATTGGTCATGAAGATGTGAATGATTTGATGTTCACTGGTCAATGTGTGAAATGGATCATTGATGAGAAGACCAAGAAGAAATCACATATCACTGTTGAACAATCACTTTGCGTCAGTGAACTTACTGAGGTTGTCATACCAAGAGGTTTGAAGGATGAAGACAAATGTGACAAGGATCTCCACACTGCCTATAGATCACTCTTAGGTAGTATCAATTGGTTACAATCAAGAACCCAATTTCAGTCATGTTATCAGTTTTCACGTTGTGCTTCTGCCGCTGCTTCCCCCACCATAGGTGATTGCAAAACGCTGAACAAACTTTGCAGGCAAATTGTAGGTGACCCGATGGAACTTATGTTCTGGCCACTTCAAGGTGATCCTAGATTAGTTGCAATGCCCGATGCAGCGTTTAGGAACAACAGCGACAAATCCTCACAGCGCGCGATGGTTATTTTCATGGCTGAACCAAGAAAGGAAAAGAGCAAAAACACCAGAGGTTCTCTTATTTTCTTTGAATCAACCAAAATCAAACGTACCACGTTGAGCACAACTGTTGCAGAGTTGTATGCACTCATGAAGTGTTATGGTACATGTCAAATGTTGAGAGGACTGATCAAGGACATCACTGGACTTTCAAGTGAGATTCATATGAGGACTGATGCAAACAATCTTGTGACTACTGCCAGCACTACTCATGTTCCTGAACAACAAGAGCCCATTCATATGATTCAGATGCTTAGGAAAGAAGCATGTTCAGGTTCCATTGCTGACTTGTCACATATCAGAACTCAATGGTGTTTAGCCGATTGTTTGACCAAGAAATCTGCCAATCCTCAGAATCTTACCGATGCTGTTCGACAAGGTGTTCTTAAAGAAGTTGATGCTCATCCACCATTCAGATCATTACTGGAACACAAAGCTTACCTCAGGTCATGGTTGCCAACAGTTTGCAGTCATGTTGATTTCAGACATGATGTATTTCTGTTAGGTGACACCTTGAGGGATTCTTGACTATTTTTTGAATTTGTGCCTGCGGCTCAAGAGGCAGAGTCTCGAGGATCGCACTGTTTCTTCAACATGTCGAGCTCTAGCCGGTGGAACAGGGCCTCAGCCGCATCATCTAGTGATCAGGCACAATCGAACACTCGAGGTCAAGAACATCAAAGCGATGATTTTAGTCGAAGACATTCAGCTGATGGATATGCTCTGAGAAGATCAGAGGAAATCCCAGCTGACCAATTTCGAACACCATCGACATTACCCAATGAGGATCATTTAGCATTTTGCTATGATTACAGGCGCCAAACCGATTGGTTTCAGGCTCACGAGAAAGTGAGGAAGAAGAGAGAGCGCAATTTACATACATTGATGGGTCCACACAACATGAGACCAACTGACAGACATGAAATGTTCATGGACGCAATAGCTTGGATTTTGCACTGGGGAACTAGTCATGGAGAATTTGATGAATCTTTGAAATGGACTTCAAGTTTTCTGAAGTATCTCTGTGGCTTTACAACTCAGGCAGAAGAAAACTGGTTTGATGAACGATGCAATGGTTTCCACGTGGACATGACTAGCTCATCAAGGAGAAGTTATTATATGTCATGTAGCAAGAGGCTATCCAATGTGTTGAGACATTGCAGAGACAAAACGTTATTCACTGCCAGTGGAGCTATGAACATTTCCTTACTGTTTGATCAGATGCAAGGAGACAATCCAAAGGAATATCACATGTCTGGAGCAGATTTTGCTGCTATGTTACTGTGCAATCCAAAACAACGTTTCTTTGTTGAGATCTCCATGAGATGGCAGTGGTACCCATATAGCTCAATGGCAGAGTATCCATTCGACGTTCGTCTTGGTGCTTTTCAAGGACATAGCAACCAAGTTGTCGATCCCACTGTGGCACACCACCAACTGACATATGATGAGGCTATGAGTTTGGGCTGGATTTTTCATGTCACTGACTACATGAATTTAGATTCCATTCAACAATCAGGCCTGAAGACCTTTGTGAAAGGAAGTGGAAAAGGCAGAAGGGATGCAGTTCACTTCATGTACCACAATGACAATGGTCAGGGCTACATAAGGATGGCAGAGGGCACGAAGCCTCCAAGAAACTATAGGCGACCAGTGTACCTCGTTTTGGATCCAAGTTTTATTGTGGACAACCAACTCTATCTGACAAAGAATGGTGTCATTTTATTTCATGGTGACATTCCTTTCCAGTACCTCCACGTCAAGGAACAACTCCCTACCATTGCATGCAACGTTGTTCATCAAGGACGTGGCCACTCTCTACCTCCATCGGTTACAGGTGGTTCATGGCACACCAACACAACATGGAACCATGTCATGAAGGAGAAAGGTCCAACATTTATTCCTGGACAAGACATTCCTGAGGAAGTCAGAATCACAGCATGGGAGTTCATGGGTCAGCAGGTTCCACAAAACTATGGAAGATTGGTTTTTGGTACACCACTATGCAACGAGAATGACTTTGACCCGATTGTGGAATCAATCTATGGTGCAGCAGCAGAAGGCTCTCGAGAAAGAGAGGTATCTGCAGCAGAAGGCTCTCAAGAAAGAGAGGTATCTGCGCAGGCTGATGAACCCATGGAAAATCCATATGAACAGCCATCAAGAAGAGGACGCTCTCAAGAAAGAGAGGAACCTCAAGATGCATGGGAGCAACAACGCTCCTCATCAGGAAGTCCAGAATCACCACAACATGATCCTCAACAAGATGCTCAAGACAATCAACAAGAGGAGCCATCAGTGGACGTCCATGACGACCCAATGGGTGAAGAGGCTGTCAATCTCTGGGAAGCAGAAGATCCACCAGATGATATTGAAGACCCTGTGGTAGAACAGGCTACCAAAAGTTCAATTTCTGCATCGAATCCCTGGGTCCTGTATGAGGCAGGTATTGTCTGTGCAAGAGAAGAGAGCGGTGAACTCATCAAGAACTCCTCAGGAGAAAAAAGTGATAGTTCTGCGTGAATGGAACCTACTACTCTCTTCACAAAAGATAGCACTTCGTAGACAATCGATCGCTCGCTCAGACTGGGAGAAGTTACCATGGACAGGACATCTATGCTTACTCTTCACAAGAGCTTGGGAGATTGGACGCATGTTGGCACACTTCCATCGAGAAGGAAACATTGAAGCCATGGAAGGTTACATGAACTCTTGTCGACAATATTGGACAGACTGGATGCGAGGTCAAGTTGCCCCAACAGGTTGGGAAGACAGACACAGTATCAACAGAGACGAATGGAGAGAGAAGTTCTTGCTATACGAAAGAGACTTAGCAATACAGAAGGACATGGAGTATCTCTCAGAAGCAGTCGTTGTCTTTTACACTAAGCATCTTGATCAGTTCATTAGAGAGAACAACAAACTCTGGGGAGATTTCTGCAGGAGAAAGAAGGACCGTGATGGTAACATTTTGGATGCACTGGAGTTGAACACACATGGGTATGACATGACTATTCAAGGAATTACAGTTCCCATGAACAAGAGAACAGTCATCCCAGAACCTGAACGGCATTTCTCGTTTTCCACAAAGATGATGATCATGGCAATCGATCTGTATGAAGATGAAGCACCTGCTAGCTTTAGCCATTTCACAGTTTTTGCTTTGAACAAGCTTCGACAATTTGTGGATAGCAGAAAGGAATTGACAGCTCAATCCTACAGATTCTTTGTTGAACATGCCTACAATCAATTCTTTCAGCATGAAGCATTCCATCAATCTGCAAGAGCAAGGACAAAGGTCAGGGAATGCAGTTCAGGTGACTTCCACACATCTACAAAGATCGATGGCTACATCTGGGTAGCTGGAAAGGACAAGATCGCTCACATCCCAGGATCAGAGCAACAGAATGTGGACATGGAAGGTCACGATGATGATGATGCTGAAGATGATTTGGAGTTTTTGCCAAGACTACAAGTTTTTGTCAGGAAAGAGGAGGAAAAGGCATCAGGCTCTCAGGAAAGAGGAAGAAGGTGTATGCTCTCAAGAAAGAGAGGAAACACAACCACAACAAGAAAGTGAGGTATTACCTGATGCAAATCCTCGAAGAAATATGGAAGATCGACGGGGACTGTTCTTAGTCAGGCAACTCAAACCAGAGCACAGACAGATCCTCCATGATATTA